CAATCTTGACATGTTATTCACCACGCCACATTTCCACGAGTGCTGTTGGTCACAGGGCAAGTGTGAATTTTAAGGAAGGCCAGGCCTTTTCGCATATCTCATTCTGTGGTGGGTTTATCGATCAAGTAAAGTTGTATTTGCTATAGAAATCGACTACACTACTTAGTTTTCCTTTATAAGTAGGTATTCTAGACTACCAATAGTTCAAATGTATGTAATATATTCACCTTAATTCGTTCAAGTGGATAAGAGAACTAGCAATTATAGCAGTAAAAACTGTGTGGAGTAGTGATGGACATGTTAGGATTATAGGCTGTTCTGTCATGGTTCGAGTCCCGCTGATGGGGCTCATAAAACCGGTTCCGCCGAGGCCGAAACTGAAGTCCACTACAGCCGGGATGAGTATAACTTTTGAAAAGCAAGGATATGTGAAATAGTATGTAAACGTGAGGTCTATTCAGATGAGGGTGGGAAAATTCAACTATCCGTCTCCATATGATCATAAAGGAAATAGGGTGAAAACATGCTTTTAAGCCTTGAAGGTCAATCCTCCATCTTTCTTTCAGGCCTCAAGTCTATGGGCTCGATTTCGGCAAGAAAAAGTGACGTAACTTCTTCCCTGTTACTCCTTCCTACTCGACTATACCAAATGGTTGTTAGCCTTTGAAACAACCGGTAGATTTTTACTAAGAACTGTAGCTACCTTATATCTCATAAGGCGACTGAAGGGCTGACAGTTGAGGTTCCCTCAGTAAAATGTGCATTCTTGGGGTATTCTGAATGTTTAAATATAATCTAATGACAGTCTGATACCTAAGCATGGCCGCAAAGCATTCTGGTGCGATAAAACAACAAACCCCTTCCCCATGCATCTTCATGGCAAATAAAAGTCTCCACTAGATCACTTACATTCGCAGTGAGTAGTAGATTTCCAAACGACCAATGGATCGTGAATAAGACCTGTACTCACCAAATGGCGCAAAATGTGGTGAAATCAACGCCCGCCCTGTGACTCTCTGGCACATGTTGCAATGTGGCGCTATCCTACCACAACCTGGATTCTATTCCCGTTGGGGGCGTGTTGATGAAAGCACATGTGAGGGAAAAACTATAGTCCACCTTTTTGGTTAGCAAGGGTGAATGAAACTCAATAACTCGTATCGTCGTTGGAAACTACAACCATCCGTCCTCCATCTATGGTGCATACAGGGCTTATTTCAAACTCAAACTTTTGTTTCAAGGATTTGACAGTGCACCTCGTTGGGAGCAAATACCTCGGATTTTGGTGTCTTTGGACAGGTCTCCTCTTCGCCGACCGGTTCATCCGACACGACATGATCGGCCGGACGAGTGGTCGCCACGGCAACCGCTTGCTCCGGGATCAGCAGGTCTGTCGACAGGGCCATTGGATTGATGAGAATACGGGCCTCCGAGTCCTCTGGACACCTGCCACCGGCTGACCGGCCGGTGTTGAGGCCAGTCGAGACTGGGTCCATCTGCTTCGGACAGACAGTCGAGCTAACCGGGTCGAATATGGTCGTCAACGGTGCATGGGCCAGCAACGAGCTCGTCTCCACGGAGTCGGCCAGAGTCGTCGACGAGTGCTGCATCCGCAATGCCCTCGATTGAGTCTGGCCGATTTCGGTGGCGTCGGAGTTGATGAGACAACTGCCGCTGATCGAACTAGCCAGTCGCAAGGTCGTCAGACTCGAATTGGTCGTCGTGCCCGGCGTCGAACCCACGTCCAGAGCCGTGGTCTGGTGGGTCCAGCCGAGGCTGAGATGGTTAGGAGAACGGGACCCGTTGTTGACTGGATGATCGGCGTCCGAAACCAAGTGAGCACAAGCCGAAAGTAAACAAAACAACAGCATTATACTTGAAAAGGTTAGAACTCTATTTCATTGCAACCAAGGGCAATTAGATCAGCATAACACAGAAATTTGTTTGCAATTTGGACAGAACGTTTCATCAACTTCAATTTGGTTTAACCTCGTCTGTCAGGACAACATGGATGAATGCACACCATCCAAAGTCATATGCCTTAAAGCACCAGGCCGTGGACTTGGTACATTCAAAAACTACTGCTTAACAGCGAAATAAAACTGCGATCCAACTGATGCCTAAATCGGAAATGAGCAAAACCCATAATTCAATCCGACCTGTGGCTCGTTTTGATGTGTTGAAGTGGATTAGCTTCGCTCTGGCAACTTGATCCTGTTGTCAGGGCGACCTAAAGAAGGAATATCTCAAGTGTGTAGCAGAAGTTATCCAAAAAATGAACTTTGAAGAGTTAAAATCTGGCGGTAAAACTGGTAACATTCACGGATGATGACAACGAAGTGTCTGCGAATGTATCGAATCTAGATTCAGAGGCTGGAAATCATCAAGACTGCTACGGTCACCCTGGCAACACAACCGAGTTGGGAAAACTACGTCGAACCACTTTTATTCTGGTAACATAAATCGCGATTATCAGATCATATAGTTCAATCTAAGACACGAAGAAAGCGTCTACAGGTGGTTTGACCTCGTTTTTGCAACCTGCTTATGTTGTCAGGGCGACATGTCCGGATAGCCGGTAGGTGATATCACAAAAGATCGGTTGTAAGTTGGTCAAGAGATGGACTTGACTGGCATCTTCTACGAGTTGAAGTTTGTTGGTGCAAATGGCAAAACTCTCTGAAGATGCCGATGAAACATTTATGAATGTACCGAATCCACGGTTTGAGGCTGGAAATGATCATGACTACTCGGGATTTCGGGAAAAATGCGTTCTTCTGGGTTGTTCTGACACAAAGATCGAGTTGCAGAAACAAAGTCAAACTACTTCTGTTCGGCGAAAAGCGACTGCCACCCAAAAATGCATCAAAATCCAGCTACTTTTTCTATCTGTAAACCAGAGAACATACCATCTTGACGTTTGTGTCAGAGTGAAATAAAGTCCATCCGGAAGTAGGGTATCTTGCCTCTGCATCGAATCGGCCTGAAACGCAGCCTATTTGATCAGAGGAGGAAGACAATCTGCATTAACATGCCCCAAATCGGTTTTATCTGACCATTGGTTCGAACATCTCATGTCTTCATCAGCAGGTTGTCATACACATGACTTCTTCTATGCCAGGTGAGATGTGTTCCGCCTATTTCGTTTGAGATAATGAATGACTGATAGCTGAATTTTCCCACAAGCCTATGAGTAAACCTTATGCTACCATTGAATTTCACAATACCTTGCTTCCACAAGGCTATTCTTATCAGGCCAGAAGACAACTA